ATTCGGAGATTTAATCATAGGAACATGGGGAGTTCACCAGGCAAAATGATGGATGAAAATATGGAGTTTCATGAGACATCATTACGATATGACCATGAAATCCAAACCAGAAACTATGTTTATTATGCAACCAGAAATGGGGGGTCACAAAAAATATCGTCCCGTACTGGGGTATACCCAAAAATTATAGACCAACATTGGGGATGGTTTATTATTGGGTTTACCTCACTAGCTGCTGATGCGAGCATGAATCAATACATCTTGGACAGTGGTTTCAGGGATGAACATCCAAACCTACAAGCTATAAGGATGAACACTAGGGTACCGAGGCGAACCGACCCTTTTCAACATGTATTATGGAGGCTACTGAAGTAGATCGATTTGTGTTTTGCTGGAATGGGCATCTTCATAGATGGTGGTAAGCATCTCTGGGAGCCCTCACTATGGGACATGTCAATGGGTTTTCTTCAGAGTTTCCAGGGTCTTGGTAGAGCGTTTCATACACTCAGATACTTCACCCCCAAGTTCCAAACTAGGTGGACGTGACTGTGGTTGCCAAAAAAGTATTCACTCAGTAATTTTATGCAGTGTGGTTACCACCCAATAATACACCATCCCGATTTTTGCAATACCCTTTGGTAAACTAACATAGCTATTGAAAATGGCCATTTATAGTGGATTTTTCCATTAAAAATGGTGATTTTCCATAGCTATGTTAAATTTACAAATGGCTGAAATCCACATTAGAAGACAGCTCCATGTCTCGATAGAAAGTGCCCTTCCGCTAGGGGATTTGCAATCATTGCGCACCACCGTCGACTTCAGAGGGGACGAGGTTCACCTAAGCCATTAAAAATCATGCAAATCTCACCCTTTCTGCAGGCTTTGATCCCCTTTCAAATTCCTCGTCAACCTCAGCGCCGGATCTGAAAAACGGTCGAACCTCCCAGGAACTACCTAAAGTATACCAACGCCTGTACCCATTTGTATGATTTCAAGATTCAAAAACAGATTCGATGATTCAGAAAACACATTCGCCAAACAGCAATGATGTTTATTGTTTACCGGGATAAAGCTATGACATTGTATGACCATTGATCGGGTTTTTATCCCTGTGGACCTTTTTTGAAATCCAGAAAAATTGGTTGGGGAAAAAACAAATTGTGGTTGAATTTCCTAGATTCAATGGCTACCATCTGGTAATTTAACATAGCTATGGAAAATCACCATTTTTAATGGGAAAATCCACTATAAATGGTCATTTTCAATAGCTATGTTAAATTACCAGAGGCTACAAACTTTAGTTTCAACATGTTCCAAGCCTTCCCAACCAATCCCTCCAGATCCGTGCGCTGAACCGCGAGCTTCGGAAACTGCTGGTCCGCGGTGTGGAGGCGAGTGTCGAGGCCAATCCCAGTGGTGCCATGGCCATGGGAGTAAAAATGAGGGATTCCCCAAAACAATACTAGTTTCAATACTAAATGAATTGTCTAATTTTGGATGATTTGGGGGTAAACCGACCGCCTTTTTTTTTTTGGGCGAAGAATGATATATGTTTCCACGTCTACGTGATGTTTAACTTCTTTTCGAGACTGTGGATACTGTGATTCGCAGAACTGCGCTTTTTTAAGTCTGGCAGGCTGGACAGTTTCCGTGGACAGATGACATATATTGACCTGAGGTTCAGAGGGCAACTACACTGTGGTCATCCAATGAGACTGACGCCAGAAAAAGTGCGGCTACACGCTGATGCTTTGGCGTGGTCACCGGTCACCAGAAATATGGATGAAAGTGGACCCTAGAAATCCAGGCATGTGATTTAATTTGATCAAAACATATCCAAAAGATCTGTTTGAGTGCCCCAGAATCATCCAACATCCACCAGCCTTTCTTGGGATCTGAAAAGTCATTTTTCAGCACCAAAATAGAGGACCGGTGACCCACTGATGTCACAGCTAGTGCCATCAGGACTCCCCGAGCAGAGCGTCTCAGGTGCTGAGGGATGGCCATTTTGACAGATTTTGACAGGGTTGCTCCAGCCATTTTCAACCCATCATTATAGGTGAATCATAGTCATAAGGGGTGGTCATCCGTGGTCATTTATCATTCTGATGATATCTTTACCTCGTTTCACCTCTATTTGCCCGGTTTCGCGCTGTTTGACGGGAGCCCTGTTTGATACATTTGACAACGATTGATAATGGGCAAAATGATCGATTAGCCATGGTTTTTATTTGGGAGTTCCGAATCTGCCCCAGAAACTTGGATGGTTTCAAGTGATGTTTGCCACAAAGCTGAAAACCTGTGAGCCCATTGGTCCTCCTTTTTTGAGCCAGTCCTTTATCTTCTTATTCCTTGGAAGGGTCAAAATGCATCAAGTCTTTTTGGCACACAAGATCTTCAGCTTGGACCTCCAAGCACACGCATCAAATGAATAACACCCAAAATCCCTGATGCTTGACCTTGACTACATAGTTACTGGGTAGATCATGGTTATCCTAAGTGGTTTGGACTAATCCAATAGGGGAAGTCTATTAGTTCTGCATGTATGTATATGTATAATTATGTATATATATATAGAGCAAGGATGGGAACAGCACCTATCTCTTACCCTTTTTGAATGGCAATGTAACATAATCATTCCTCGCAATTGCTGAGGAATAATCCATCCCAAGTGTATAGTAAATATGTTGAAATCTTTCATTAGTGGTGATGATCATCCATATCGATCATCATTTTAGGGCTGGCAATCGGTGGAGATTCTCTGCCAAGTACATGGGCTGGGTCAAAATTATCAAACAAGTACATTCCATGGTTTCATACTAAACATGCCAACTTTTATGGTTCCTAATTGGTTATGACTTGTAATTGCTTGCGGAGCCAAGACTGTTGTGGTTTGTTTCACTCTGACCAGTGAGGTTTTGTTCACCTGCCCAAGGGCGTTTTTTTCCCTAGTAACCAATGGCTTCGTAGTCATGCTTGTAGCTGTATCATAAGTATGTATTGACTCCTCCCCACGACTATTAGGTGATGAACTACCACATAGTTTTGGGTCACGCCTCGATTGATTCGCCTATTTCTTTCCCCAAACTTTCTCCATTACAGGAAATCATATTACTGTAAATCACCAGAATTTCTTTAGTTTTGATGGAAAACACCGAATTTCGATCTGCAAAAGGTTCCGCAAAGCTTCGCGCTTCCCCCGGCCTCTGCTTCTCAGGCAGTGCAGTTGCGAGACTATGAAATGCGCTTGGCTAAGATGTCCAAAGATCTGAATGCAGCCGGGTGGCCTAGCGAAGTGAATAGAAACTAAAAATCTACTTGGAAGTGCAGTTCCAGTTATGAGTGGATATATATATATATATATACATATATATAGTGACGGACCGAAACTTAGAATGCCATTTTGGAACCGTACCCACTGGAAAAAGTAGCGGCAAAATATAGAAATATGTGCTCCCGCAACTTTTTGACTGCATTTTTTCGATAAATGGCTCTTGCAGATGTTAACTTAGAATGCGTGTCAGGTCCTTTTCTATTTTGACATGCTTCACTTGTTCTTTTGGATACCTTTTGATGCAGACATTTCAGGGGTTTTTGCCCTGTTGTTCAGAGATTCGGCGCCCATTTCAATGTAAATTAAGGCAGTAAATCATTCCAAAACCACCCATTTCAATATTTTGGAATCCAAACTTGTGCACAGGAAGGGATACAGGACCGTTCCAAGAGCAAACAAAACGCTGGGATTTCGAGGGAAAGAGTGAAAAAGGGCCAAACTTTTTGGCATGAGAGTGCGATTGCGCTGTGCTTTCAAAGCTTTTTGAATATATATAGTACCGGATTAAAACTTAGAAGGGGCTCCCAGTTTCCAAACCCGTGTTAGAATGGGGGTCACGGAGAACAACTTAGAATGAAGCATTCTAAGTTTAGGGGGTAAGGTGGACGAAAACGTATATATATATATATATATACGTAAATCTCACTTGGCGGGAAAAAAAATGATTATTTGCGAAATGCATGCTAAGTTTACACCCGAGGATGTTTTTTACGTATATATATATATATGTGTGTGTGTGAATTCCTCCATTTCTGATGGCGCAAAATAAGGAACTTTATTATAGATAAACCCTGATGTCTGTTCTTGTGAAACAATGCTGCTGGTTTTCTTGTGTGTGCCTGGCAGTGCACACAAAGCTGGGACAGCCATGCATCGTGCTGCATTTAGCGCTGGCGGTCGGAAGTTGAAAGAACGCAAACCCCAAACAAGTATATATTTATATATGTATACATAGATAAATAGCTACATATTATATTAATATATATATATATAGTGACACACTGAAACTTAGAATGCCGCCCAGTTTGTTAAAATTTTGATTTTTGAACTTAGAATGCCGCCAAAAACCCTGTTTTTAAGGGTATTTTAGAATGCCGGCGTGTGAATGTTTCAATGTGCCAGACCCCGAACCACAGTATTGCCATACAAAATGCACATTTTAGGTCTAAAATGGCATTCTAAGTTCTCTCCTGCCAGTGTTTTTTCCTCCATAAAACCCCCAAAAAAACAGCAAACAGAAAAATAACTCCACTCCGTTTGAAGCACATATGCAAGAAACAATGCAATTTACTGCATATTTACAGGGTTTTGTGAACATATAGGATCCAAGGCACCTCAAGATTCCTTTTTTTCCTCAAAAGTGTCTCTTATTTCCTTCCCCATTAAAGATGAAAACCTCGAAAAAACAGGGACCAAAAATCCCTGGCAAAAGGTAACTTAGAATGCTGGCAAAGTTGTCTTTGGTTTTCCATTGTTTTTCATTGTTCCTTCTTTGGTTTTTCATTGGTTTTTCTGTGGTTCTCTTTTGTTTTTCCTTGATTTGTTCATAGATTTTTCTTTGGTTCTCAAAAATGTTCATGTGTTGTTCTTTGCTTATCATTGTTTTTGTTCATTGGTTTTCATTGGTTTTTCTGGTGTTTTTCTTTGGCGATTTTTTTTCCACTTTAGTATTCGCGAATGAATTGCCTAATTGAAAACAAATACATAAAGTGAACTTTCTTGGAACTTTAGTATTCACGAATGAATTGCCTACTTGAAAACGAATACATAAAGTGAACTTTCTTGGAACTTTAGTATTCACAAATGAATTGCCTAGTTGAAAACGAATACATAAAGTGAACTTTTTTGGAACTTTAGGATTCACAAATGACTTGCCTAATTGAAAACGAATACATAAAGTGAACTTTCTTGGAACTTTACTATTCCCAAATGAATTGCCTAATTGAAAACGAATACATAGAGTGAACTTTCTTGGAACTTTAGTATTCACAAATGAATTGCCGAATTGAAAACGCATACATAAAGTGAACTTTCTTGGATCTGTAGTATTCACAAATGAATTGCCTAGTTGAAAACGAATACATAAAGTGAACTTTCTTGGAACTTTAGTATTCACAAATGAATTGCCTAATTGAAAACGAATACATAAAGTGAACGTTCTTTCCACTGTAGTATTCACAAATGAATTGCCCTAAATCCGCCATAAATCCTCCCTCCATAAATCCTTCATAAATCCATCATAAATCCTCCATAAATCCGCCATAAATCCTCCATTAATCCTCCATTAATCCTCCATAAATCCACCATAAATCCTCCATAAATCCCTCAAAAATCCTCCATAGAGCTTCTATAAACCTTATTTTCAAGTGGCCAGGCGTATTTTCACAGAGCCGATGAACACCTGTGATCATATATGGACATTCTAAGTTTGCCAGATTTGGTCTCCAAACTACATAAGGGTGCTCAAATATGATAAACTCCTTACGGTGTGTTGGCGGCATTCTAACTCTAGTATGAAAATCTATGGGGTATAAAGCGAACATATGTTCACAGAGCCCATGAACACATATGATATTTTATGATCATATGTACACATTCTAAGTTTGCCGGATTTGGCCCCAAAACTACATAACAGTGCTCAAAAATGATAAACTCCGTACGGTGTGCTGCCACATTCTAACTCTAGTATGAAAATCTATGGGTTATAAAATTGTCATAGATAAACCATGATGTCTGTTCTTGTGAAACAATGCTGCTGGTTTTCTTGTGTGTGCCTGGCCGTGCACACAAAGCTGGGACAGCCATGCATCGTGCTGCATTTAGCGCTGGCGGTCGGAAGTTGAAAGAACACAAACCCAAAACAAGTATATATTTATATATGTATACATAGATAAATAGCTACATATATATATATATATATATAGTGACACACTGAAACTTAGAATGCCGCCCAGTTTGTTAAAATTTTGATTTTTGAACTTAGAATGCCGCCAAAAACCCTGTTTTTAAGGGTATTTTAGAATGCCGGCGTGTGAATGTTTCAATGTGCCAGACCCCGAACCACAGTATTGCCATACAAAATGCACATTTTAGGTCTAAAATGGCATTCTAAGTTCTCTCCTGCCAGTGTTTTTTCCTCCATAAAACCCCCAAAAAAACAGCAAACAGAAAAATAACTCCACTCCGTTTGAAGCACATATGCAAGAAACAATGCAATTTACTGCATATTTACAGGGTTTTGTGAACATATAGGATCCAAGGCACCTCAAGATTCCTTTTTTTCCTCAAAAGTGTCTCTTATTTCCTTCCCCATTAAAGATGAAAACCTCGAAAAAACAGGGACCAAAAATCCCTGGCAAAAGGTAACTTAGAATGCTGG